GTTTCACCTGTTTCGAGACATGAACCATCCCTCTAAAAAAAAAAAAAAAAAAAACATTCCATGGAGTCCACAATAACAACAAACAGAAAACAAAAAAGATGAGGAAAAAGATCTGTTGATTTTGTTTTGTTATCTTTGTCAATTTTTCAAGTTTCATAATCAAAAACAATGAATTTTGAAGCTTCCACTGTTAGAGTTCATTATTGTGCAAAAATTTTCGTAAATTCTGATACAACTTCTATATGTTTTCTGAGAGTGGTTTGTATTCAGACTTTTTTCCCTTGAGAGAACAGTTTGGAAACAACTTGTCAAAAAAGTTTAATTTCTAGAAAATGAAACAAAAAACACAGCAAAAACACACCAAAAGGTCTCATGATAGTATATTTAGCCTAACAAACAAGGAAGGGACCATCACTAGATTACTCATCAGTGAGAAACATTTTTGCTCCCTATGGGCAAAGAATTTTCGTTCCCTAAAACGTCTTTGTGATTGGCAAACCAGCTTTGAAAAAACATCACTGCACTCATCAAGTCTGGCCCAAGGAGAATTATGCTTTTCTTTTTGGGTATAAATCGTATCATTTTCATTTTGTGCAAATTTGGTTCCCTAAAACCTTGTGCTTCACAAACCAGCTTCGAAAAAACATCGCAGCACCCATCAAGTCCGGCCCCAAGGAAATCATGCCTTCTTTTTTTGGGTATAAAAGCTTTGTCAGAAGTAGCAACAGATATTGTATCACCAAAACATACAAGCAATCCTGGAGAGCGTAGGATACTTGGAGCTTGCAACTTGCCACCAAGTCAATGCATTGAAATCTGGCTCCACTTATGATAGGTTTTCCTCCAAATACAAATCCAATTTCTGACTTGACCTGCCTAGAACTAGAAGATCGGAGGAACAATTGTACTCTTGCAATAACCTCAAATGGCCATTTGATCAATTCTCATTTCACATAATCATTGTAAATGTTTGTGCACGGCTTCAAAACCTTTTGAGTAGCTATATATCGCCTTAAATTTCAAAGAAGAAAATTCTATGTATTTCATCTTGAAGCGAGGATCATCACTGAAGCAATTGCCAGTAGCAAGTACATATTGTTCGTCATACTTGCTAAAACAACTGAAGCAATTACTTATTCACATTAGTTAAAACATTACTTGACCTGGAGCATACTAATGAAGTATGCCCGAAGCTCTTGAAGATGATGGAGATAGATGTTAGCAGTTGAATACCCCATTCAAATAATGGAAACACTAATGCATATATGTTGTCTATTTATCTATTGATATTATGGACTTTCCTCAATTCCTTGGCCGATGGTTTTTCATTCCTGGAATCTATATCTGTAAAAAATTACCTCCAGATATAGTAGTAGTGAAGCTCTTTTACCTGGTTTGTTTTTGTATAACCATGAAGGCTCCGTTCTTTAAATGAATACATACTGCCAAACTTGTCAACAATTTTACTTTTCTCCTTATTTGCATCTTGCACATAGATGACAAATGTCACTGCAGCAACACACTCGAAATAGCCGACCATAAAGTGGGAGCTCCTTCTTTCCGCAAATGTGATCCTTAACAATCTCAATAGTTTCATAATAAATACTGCTATTTGACATAGTGATTGTGGATATCTTTTTTCTCAATGCCCCACTTTTCAAAGAATTTAGAATGACTTCATGCAGAGCAGCTTGTGATTGATGCCCAACACAAGTGAAATTAAGAATCCACTTTTGCATCTCCCAATTAATCAAAATGAAAATAAGCTGTTAGGCACAAATAATCAGAACCACTCTTGCCAGGTTTTTGCAAGAACTCAGTATGTCTACAGAGAGGCTGATCTGCCATCCAAATTCCTTAAAGTCCCTTTAATTTTCTCTCTCTTCCTTAAAAATTTGAGGCACCAAAGCCTAACAACAATCAAAACTAACGTAAGCTGAGGGTCAAGCATTTGTATAATTTCCTTAATATGTTTATCTTCAACTGCTTGGTGGTGACAATTCAGAGTAGAAAACCTTTGTGAGAGCTAGGCGGGGCTTTTTCTTCGTTGACCAATCTTCATTGAGATTCAGGCTTCGTTGGGAAGTTGCTATTTTAGTAGGCTTTATTTATTTTTTTTTGCTATTTTAGTATGTTAAAATTTTATTTTTGGGAAGATGATTGGATTTTTTTATGGTTAGATGTGATGTTTATAAGAGAAAAAATGAAATATTTTATAGATTTGATGTGATATTTTGTCTTATACTATTTTAGCCTATTTTATCTTTTTGTAAATTTAGCCTAAAACTAAGCTATTTTTTTTCTGCCAACACCCCCATAATATGCCTGAGTTTTTTTTTTTTTTTGGTGATCTTGTGCAGCGAAAGCCAAGGCTAAAAAAAAGTGGGGATGTGTCGGTGTACTCTTTTGGTTATGTTTGGAAACACAAAGAGGGCAGTCCCAGTCTCGCATTTTGCGCGGAATAATCATATCATTATCATTATAAACAGAGATGTCTACGTGGCAGATGGTGAGGGATATTGCTTACTCATAAACAAACAAAACGGATGGGCATGCATGGCATGGCATAGGCTTAGGCTGGCTATTTTTTAGTTATTTTAATTACAAAAAGATAACACAGGTTAAAAAGTTAATAAAACAAAATGTCACATTTAAATTATAATTATTTTATTTTTTCTCTCACAAAAGTTAGAAAAACCAAATAGCTTAAACGAGACTTTTTAGTCCCAGGCTAAAATATTTAAAATCTA